AAAACAAAAGCAAACTCTCATAGTTCGGAGCCCAGCTCCAACTACTTCTTCGTAAGTAAGGTGAGGTACTTCTTTCGGTTTTTTTAGGGGGTCGCCCTTCTTTTTGTTGAAGTAGCCACGACTTTGGTCGTAGTCAGTTCAAACACATAAACCCGCAGCCATGTTGATCAAAATGACTAAGTTTCATGACTTGACCAGTCACTCGCCCTCGTATTAGAAGATCATCTCACCCTGTGGTCGACATTCCATTCCCCTTAGTCGTAGGTGCTCGTTCTATTCTAAGTCATTCCACGCTAAAACCTCTAATCCACTCTTTCACCAGCTAATCCATAAGGAAGTTGACTTTGCCAACCCTACCTTCTTCTTTTTCTTTCTCTAGCTCGGACTAGCAGGTTGGCTTAATCTAAACTTACTTACTATATATATATGAAATAAAATCCCCAGGGAATTAAGGGAATGACTTTTCATCTAACCTTGCTTACTCTAGCCTTTGAACTTCCCTGACCCTTTAGAATATCCCCTTGGACTGAAGCTTACTTGATTAGTTGCTTAGCTGGCTTGCTTCTCCTAGCACCAGGGTAAATCCTAAAAGGCATGGGAAAAAGAAAGATGCACAGTGACAGCCCAGGTCAAGGATATACCCGAGCCCCTCTTGAGAACACTCACTGAGTACCGAATAGAAAAGACTTGTAAATCATTCGACACACATGTGTTAAGCATATAGCCAATAGCTTCTTAGCGATTAGTTACTGCCTATAAGCCCTCTGACTTAGATAGATGCAAGGGAAGAAAGAAGATCAAAGTAAGGACGCTAAGAATAATGATACCTATTACAAGTTAAAAGCCTGACTAAATGAAGGATAGATCTAACAGGCAATCAGAGTTTTATTTACCAGACTAGACTCAGTCAGGCATTTACCTAGCTATCTAAATAAAGGAATAATTCAACTACAAAGATAGCTTCTTTTCGAGACTTATTACAGCACTTATGACTCATGAGTATAGCTGGAAGCCTCACTGCCGATCGCCTGTTTCCCTATCTTCCTAAAGAAAGGTTTTTGGTAACAAAGGTATAATAATAATAGATAAATCAACATTCGCATAGAATCGAGTATCGAGTTTGCCCACCAACTTGAACATCCACTGAGACAGGACCAACCATCCAAAACTACTGCTTTCTAGTCTTCTCCACCTAAAAAGGTTGTTGGTGTCTGCTCATAGCTTCTTGTTCCTCAATCTAATTGATCGTATATATCACTCCGATCACCTATCAGTACCAGGCTTGGCATTCTCAGGTGGCTTCGCCGCGGGTACCACACCGGTTGTTTACGGCTTTTTCCATTGAGTGAGCGTCTTCGAGTTCGACCTAGTTACTCTCTCTCGGCTTTTCGAATGAAAACTCAAAGCCATAGCGAACTTTTTCAGGGCTGGGCGAATCTGGCGCTTATAGAGTACAGCGGCACCACGCGAAAAAAAAAAGTTAAACAAGGCGAAGGGAGAATGGCATATCAAACTGAAACAACGGGTAATCCAGATAAGTCCCTTTGGAGGAAGAGCAACGCTGGGAGGGAGAACTGGAATGCGGTATCTAATTTGATAGTTTGATCGAGGACAGTACACCTTTTTTATTTAAAAGATTTTCCTTATTATGGTGGTGGAGGATATAGAGTGCTGGCAAGGCTGGATCACAAGCGATCTCGGCATTTTGACCGTATCCTCGCTATGTATACTAAAGTCCGTGGTTCAAGTGATTATCCATTTGAATTATGGCTTGGTCGAGTGAGCTTTCGCTTGGAAAGTCCAGGATACGCTAGACTAGACGCTTTCTTTTTAGCTGACTTTAGCGCTTCGCTTGCTAACTCTGCTTTCAGTGGAATAAAAAAGATCACTACTATACTTACTGAAAGTGGCATTTATATAAAAGCTCTTATTTCAATCTCCAGGAGGGATGATACGCTTCCGATCGATCTGTCTTCCCCATGTTGTTACTGGCCCTTCTTCTTCTCCCATTTTTTGAGGCGAATGAGGTTGCCTTTTTTTATTCACCTACCTTTCGAGTCAGTCGAAAAATAACAGCAGCTTTAACAAATGATATTCCTCCCCGGTAGAAGACTCAACCTTCAATCAATGTCCGTCCCCTGCCCACACTCACCTCAACCTCACAGGTAGCCTACCCAACGGCTCCACAGAAGGAAGACCAACTTCTATTGATTGAATCCCCCACACGCTATGTGTGGATAGAATACGCCCGACTTGAGCAGTTGCTAAGAGAATGTATAAAATAAAGATCAACACCGATCATATGACACAAAAAGCTTCGCTACATTAACGGCTTTTGGATCGAATTCCCACTTTCCAGATATATCTTTGACTTCGTACCAGGGATCAAACTCTAACTCGATTCTTTGGTGACATGAAGCAGTGGCATTCGGCCTTGCCATTGAGTAAGCGCTTGAAGTCAGCTCTTTGCATTGAAAGATCCGGTCTAAGCTAGGCTGCAAGATAGGCTAGAGTCATAGTTCAAACCACTTCTTTCTATTAATTAATAATAATAAGGTCAGGAGAGATCACTTCTGCTTAAGGGAAGTTTGAATATAGATCCCCTCAAACCCTGAAGTGCAAAGAGCACGTTGTGGCAAGGTTTCTCATTGAGAATGGATCATCCCTGAATGTGATGCCAAGGTCAACATTGGCCAAACTTCCGGTGGATACGTCACACATGAGACCTAGTCCAATTAGACTACGGGCTTTTGATGGAAGACGCAGAGAGGTGATCGGGTATATTGAGATAGAAATTTGTCCCTACACTTTTGACATACTATTCCAGTATCGATGCCCTGCCCAAGAGGAGGTGAATACCGGCTGACTTGGACAAGCGTACGATCAGAGTGAGGACGCTACCTTCTTTATCTTCCTTCGCGTGGAGCAACCACTCCCTTCCTAGGGTAGGGGGTTGCCATGGATTGATAAATATGTCAGGCCGAAGGGGAGGAAAGACTGAATTCCGCATTCAAAATGAGAGGAGTATAAGGGTGTGGCTTATGAACTCATTCCTATGTATACCCCGATTCCGAAAGGGAGGCAGCTCAATGTTAACTATAAGTCATGGATTGCCCCACGTGAATATGATGCCCTGAATGAAAAGGGAGGCTAACCCGTTCACTTGGGGGGAACGCAGGCCTAGAACCAGCACAAGACGACTCCACCATTTCTAGCATTCCTAGTTTCAGTCAAGCGCCGGGTACTTTTGTTGAAGATATAATATAGCTTTCCAAGCGGACTGAAGAAGACCCGCCTATTGTATTGGTTGAGTCGGAGACACTTTCACTAAGTAAGGCGGCTAGCTAATCCACGGAGAGTAAGGAGGAGGGGTTAAGAACCGAAGGTTGAGACCGCGCGGGGAGCTAGAATGTATCTATTGGTTAGGCCGTGATAGCCTCTCTTTTCCATATAGTTTGGGCTGCCCTGACCTCCTTTTTAGTTTTAGTAAGGTAGCCAAAAGTCCGGGATCGGAATCAGAACCAACAGCTGCGCCTTCCATTTTGTAAGCTCCGATCACATAAACCTCGTCCCATTAAAAGGTGTATCTACCTTGTGGTTTTTGATGGAAAGGGGCGAAGGAGAGATATCTCTCACTTTCCAATCCGCGGAGGCTGATGAGGGTACGACCAAGTAGTCCCGACTCTTGTAATTCGGTATATGAATTCTCATACCTTCACTCTGGGATCGGGAACAGAAAGACAGTTACTTGTTGTAGTTGCACGCTCGTCCCCTCAAGAGATGCCCGCCCAAACTGAACTACTTACTTCACTTGCGAATAATAAACTACTGAACACCAATCCACGATTACTAAAGATCGCTAAAGAGAAAATGTTAACTTGACTTGATTTGCATTATTTCTTTTACGCTTTCATCAGCTTAGGTCCCCTCCTTTGTGGTCAAGCAGGATAAGAAACTCAATAAGACTCTGAATTTGAGCTGTCCTCGGATGTACACCTGCTTGTGGCACCTCGGAATTACAGACTTACTACGGTAAGAGACCTGGACCCGGCGTTCGTTGGAGTCGTGGAAGCTCAGCTCGTCCTATTCTTAGTATTCCTAATCTTTAAATCCCTATACTAGAAAGTAGCTCGATCCTCCTAAGCTAGGGGAGAGGGTCTTTAGCCCACATACACCTCCCTATATAGAGAATAGAAGTCTTTAATAGGGCTACAAGGGAGAGTGTGGTCAAGGGGCAGTGGATGGCTAGGGCAGCCCTGGGAATTGAACTGAAACAGAGAATCCTTACTCTATAAAGTAAACAACCTATACCTTACTGGTTTAAAGAAACTACTTGCTTACTATCCCTGACCTTCGACCTTATCTGTGGCAATCAACGAGTGAAGCCGATTAAAGACCATGGGATAATCTAAGTCCTTTTATCTCGCGTTATGGGGCATTAAAGGTCTTATCACTTTCCCTCTTAGAAGGGCTAAGGGTAGGCACCTTATTCAAAAGGTAGAGATTCATCTTTTCAAATGGCCAGTGGAAGAATGCCCTGTTGGACTTTCAGAATAGAGTAGGAGGGATGAATTGGACAAAGCAAATGCCTTTTTGTTCACATGGGATTGATGCCCGGAGAAAGGATTGTAGAAAAGATTGGACAGCAAGGCTATAAGGAAGGGACTGAATCAACTAGTGGGACATGCCCATAACAATAGGGCTAGTCAGGCAGGTTCTTTATCAGAGAATGGGCTCTTATGGAATGCCTGATTGCATTTGCACATGATTCGTAATAAACAGCCTTTCAGCGCAGAGTTGATTAGCAATCACTTCTCTGCTCACTTTTGTATACGACTTCCGGGTTTGATGGACCGACGGAGCGGTATTCCGACAAGCTTTCCGTCTTGCCATTCCATTTCCAGCAAGTTATTACTTTCTACTGATTAAGACATTGATGATTATGCAAAAGAGACCATATCAATACGACGAGGAATAGCTCATTAGATCCATTTCACTTCGAACTCAAAGTCTTAACTGGCAATCAAACTTAATATCTTTTACAATCAGCTTTGCTACATAACAAAATCCGTGAATGCCCTAAAGTAGAAGGTTGATTGATGCTCATTGGGAATAAAGATGTTCCATTTAGAAAAGCACGCAAAACATGTAAAAAATCCTAAACTTGGTGTCCACATCTAGAACAGCTGCTAGACTCTGAGAAATTCCTCTCCCAACGGTTTGAGATACTAAGCCAAGGTCAGACGGGTGGTCTACCCTGACAAGGTCTACTGCGGCTCAACTCCGTGGTGATCTATGAATTATTTATAGTAAGATGGGTTCCTGCTTTTGGAATGGATGTCGGAAAGGAACGAGAAGTACGTGGGGTCACGTAGTTAGCCCCGAGAGTCCATCCCTCGGAGACGGAAGTAATTGCCCGGCTCAACTAGACTAATTTGCCATCCTGCGTCAGCTCCAACTGACTGAAC